ACCTGCAACATCAACAAAGACACGGGCTCTCTCATCCAAACTTTCGCATGGAAAACCTAGGCCACGGCTTTGAATTGCTCAGTGTCAACATGCATTTGTCCGTTTGGAATATCAATTTCCAGATTGCTCCAGGTCGCGGCAAAGAACCCGTGACGGTGATGAACATAGGTTTGTTTTGTTTTCATTTTGGGATCAAACTGCCTTGCAACATGTTGCCCAACATGTTGCTTCTTGTAGCAACATGCCAAGGTTTTCCGTGGAATTTTGGCCCTTCGAAGTTTCCGGCCATGCTTGCGGGATTGGTTTCCTGTGTGTTTTCCATGTTGTGACAGTTGTGGCGGAATTGTAACAGGTGAAACTGGATGTACCTGGTGGAGTGCCAGACGCCCAGTGGACCAGTGGAACTCAGAATCCGTTCTTTTCGGTGCAGTTGGTGACATTTTGAGGCCAATCCACCTCTATACGGATGACATCGATGACAACACGAAGCAGCAACTCATCAATTTGTCGAGTCTGTGCCTTGATGCAGTTCTGCCAGTCCTACCAATTTCCAGCCAAGTTCCTGGCAGTTCCGCTGTGGCTCCGAGGCAGTGGAATTGCTGTTGGTTTCTTAGCGGCGATGCCTAAATCTCAGAAATCTATAAAAATCTCACCATCTCGGGAAGAACAGGTGAAAATTCACCTGACTGGACTGTTAGACCATGTTAGATAACTGTTAGACCATGTTAGACCTGCAGGGTTTGATATGGTTTGATGAACGTGTAATTTACTACACTGCCTTTCACCATTTAAAACATCGTTCCAACATCCCCGTCGGTGTTTGTTTTGATTTTGTTTGCAAGAAATGGCCAGACGTTGCATAGACGTTGCGTGTGTTTTGTGTTTGCTGAGGCCAGACGTGCATCTGGGTAAGGGGGCCACCATTGGTTCAGTCTTTGCCTCGCGCGACTACGTTTGTCCCAACGCAGCGACTTGGTGCGAATATCGGAAACGGCCTCGTTCCTTAAAGTCAAAACGGACCATTCAATACTAATTATATTTATGTAGATTTGATGATTGGTGATACATGTATCATTGTGGAACTACATAGCTACATAGAAGTAACTTCGTAGTATGTTATAGTATATTCAAATATCCTTTTGAATTATTTTTATCTTGAAACTGCATGCAATCGAGTCTCACTTGGAAGATCCAAGGTTGGAGTGGACATCGGTTGTGGCATGTGCCCGCATCTCTGTGATTTTTTGAAACATTTTTAGAGATCCACGATTGAAAGATGTTTGGGTCAAAGATGCCCAAGAAAACATCACCTGTTTCACGCAACTTGGCTGGTAGAGTGTGGCCAGAGATGCATATGAACCATTGCGAAACTTCTCGGTTTGAAACTTTGAGGTGCCGTTCCGGCCTGAGCCTCAATTTGCTTCGAAGATGAACACGTGGGGAAACAATGCGCTTTCTGAAACATACTATAAATTTATCACTAAATATCTTCATTATATTTTGAGAAATCCTGTAAAAATATGTTATGACATGTTGACATTTTCTTGTGTTGGTGGCTGTGGCATGGGAACATGCCCAAAAGCCCATATCAACATGACTCAACATGACTCAACATGACTCAACATGACTCAACATGACTCAACATGTTTTACATGTAAAGAAACATTTTTAGAAACATTTATTAGAAACATTTATTAGAAACATTTTTAGAAACATTTTTAGAAACATTTTTAGAAACATTTATTAGAAACATTTTTAGAAACCATATCAAGTTGACTCTTTATGTTGTTGCTTGTGACTTTTTGGGACAGGTTGCAGGTCTTCTCCGCCGAGCCTGCGGCCCAGATTCTCGAGTTACCCGATTTGGTTATGACGAAGAGACAGTTTGCCATGGCTTGCCATGGCCCTAATCGAAATAGATGGTGTTTACACCATGGTTGACCTATTAATTAATAGCATAGTGAATCTTTCCATGGCAAACTGTGAATGTCAGTCATAACCAGATGGTATCTGTTGAAGTGACTTTTCGAGGACCTTTCCGAGAAGCAACTGCTCCAGATCCAGAAAGGTCTCAGGCGATCGCTGCTTGATCCAAGCGTCCAAGTGATGCAACGCCTTCAACGTCACTGCCACTGCCATCGATTTGAGGAGCTCAATTCCGACTGGCTTCGAATCACATGGCAGGAGTACATCCTCTATGGAGGCTTTGGAGAATGAGAACATTGAGAACTTTGAATGTGTGCTTTATATGTTTTTTTTTTCAATATTCTTATGTGGATAATCAGAGTCTATAGCATGATACAGGTACGTACTCTCTCTCTCTCTCTCTTTTTGGACACTTGTGACATCAATTGATAAATGGATTGTCCATTGATATCAAACTGATATGCTATTTTGAGAAGGTGCGGCCAGATGCGGCCAGCTACAGGATTACATTATATTACATTATTATATATGATTACCATTTATGACATTTTCAATGGGTGTCCTTGACGACAACAGGGGTGTTTTGTGCTAGGCAGCCATGAAGAAGTTGATCTCGAAGCATTCACCGACGAAATGGGTCAGGAGTGGACGGAGTGGACGGAGTGGACATTTCGACCGCTTTTCGTCGAACACAACTTGCACCGTTTCTATTTTAGAAGTGTCTATAGTTCTTTTTTTGTGTTTTTCCTTTTTTGCGCAACGCTTTCAGCTTTGGATCTTAGAATATATATACATATGTATATATATATGCATATTATATATAATATATATATATACATATTGTATATTATATATACATATTATATATGCCTTGCCATGACTTTCCCAGCAGATTCGAAGGGTTTCGCAGGGACACGCTGAGTAGTCGCCACACCAAGCAGCTGGGAACTCTGGGTGGTGGCAATCACTTTGTGGAGCTGGTCTACGACGAAGAGGACTCTGAAAAATCGGTGCCTGGAGCTATGAAAAACCACTAGCAGCTACCACCCGTAACGCTTGGTGGAGAAATCACACTATGGACTTTTGACCGTAGCTTAGTAGGGGATGATAAATGATAGACATAGCAAATACACATTTATATATATATATAATTATATATAAATATATATGTAATATCTGTAGAGGATCCCCTACCATCAGAGTTTTTTGAGCCAATGTGGATGAAATATACGACATGGTAAGATTGTCAGCTACAGGTTGGGCGGTGCTTCAAATTCCAAGAGCGTTTCTTCGCACCTCAGAGGAAAATCATGGAACATGTTTAAATATGTTTACCCTCTGGTAATTTGTTACAGTTCGTGAACTTGAAAATGGCCCAGTCGAAATAGTTGATTTTCCCATTAAACATTGGCTTTTTCAATACCTAAATGTTTAATGTTCATATGTTTAAATATGTTTAAATATGTTTAATGTTCATTGATGTTCATTGAGAAGTAAGGTCCTATGGCTGGGCAAATTCTGATCTGTGAAGGATCGAGTCTGGATGATGCTGCATAGTGGTTCTCGAAACATCGGCAACGCTGGAGACTAAGATCAAAAAGTGACAACGGGTCTAGGTCTGAGATGTTTAAGCGCTGTAAAGCGGTGTATGATTTGTGTATGGCGCTTTCATTTTTGATGATTGCATTGATTGCATTGATTGCATTCTTCGTTCACCTTCTACTTTCAAGTCTTGTCAAGCAGCAAGTCTTTGAGAAATTTGAGGTTACAGCTCAACATTATGACGAGCTCGCAGCAAAACAGCAGATGGCCGAGAGTCTAATGAGTCGAAGAAACGAGACTGTGGCCATTAGCCGCAGAGGCGTTTTTTTGACAGCCGAGGTGTGGAGGCAGCCGAGAATCGCTTGCATATCTGAGGACTGCAAGGGCCCATCGTTGAATGAATATGAATTGATACATTGAATACCATTGAATATCATTGAATATCATTGAATATCATTGAATATCATTGAATATCATTGAATATCATTGAATATCATTGAATATCATTGAATATCATTGAATATCATTGAATATCATTGAATATCATTGAATATCATTGAATATCATTGAATATGAATTGATACATTGAATATCATTGAATATCATTGAATATCATTGAATATCATTGAATATCATTGAATATCATTGAATATCATTGAATATCATTGAATATCATTGAATATCATTGAATATCATTGAATATCATTGAATATCATTGAATATCATTGAATATCATTCAATATCATTCAATATCATTCAATATCATTCAATATCATTCAATATCATTAAACATCATTAAACATCATTAAACATCATTAAACATCATTAAACATCATTAAACATCATTAAATATCATTAAATATCATTAAATATCATTAAATATCATTAAATATCATTAAATATCATCAAATATCATCAAATATCATCAAATATCATTAAATATCATTAAATATCATTAAATATCATTAAATATCATTAAATATCATTAAATATCATTAAATATCATTGAATATCATTGAATATCATTGAATATCATTGAATATCATTGAATATCATTGAATATCATTGAATATCATTGAATATCATTGAATATCATTGAATATCATTGAATATCATTGAATATCATTAAATATCATTAAATATCATTAAATATCATTAAATATCATTAAATATCATTAAATATCATTAAACATCATTAAATATCATTAAACATCATTAAATATCATTAAATATCATTAAATATCATTAAATATCATTAAATATCATTAAATATCATTAAATATCATTAAATATCATTAAGTATCATTAAATATCATTGAATATCATTGAATATCATTAAATATCATTAAATATCATTAAATATCATTAAATATCATTAAATATCATTAAATATCATTAAATATCATCAAATATCATTAAATATCATTAAATATCATTAAATATCATTAAATATCATTAAATATCATTAAATATCGGTGTCCTTTTTTTAAAAATTCATTGGTCAAATTCTCATCCCTTCCGAGTGGCAAAGGCCCACCATTCCACCGCCATCATCGCGACGCAGGGCAGCGCTAAGCGGAGATACTCCCTTAAACCCGGCCAGACCTCGGCGGCTCCTGACCTGATAGGGGATATATCTGGGGATATCATGGGGAATATCATGGAAATATCACCTGTTCAAAAGAATTGTTCTCTTAAAAATGCGATGGAATCTGTTGTTTCTCACATCATAAATGTTTATAAAACTGTTTCCATGAGGCAAAATGAATTTGAATCAAACATTCTGAATCAAACATTGAGCCATCATGACCCATCCCAACTCCATGCCACGTCCATAAATTGGGTTTCCCCCAATCCAGGGTGCTCGGTCCCCCATGAACGCTCGCCAGACTTTCCACCAATGTCTGCAGTGTGGCAACGGCGCCAGCCAGGAGCTATAGAGCCCTGTGACTGCTTTCGGGGGTAAAACACGCAGTGCTGACCCCGTTTTCTACGACTTAAAGGGTGAGGGTGCTGGTGTGTTCCATGTTGATGAGTTTCAAAGGGGAAATCGAAAGATGAAAAACTTCCCAAAATTTCCGTTTGAAATAGTTTGTTTTCTTCCCTATTAAATGAGTAATGTCTTGGACATAGTTCCCCTCATGTGGAAAAGAACACATCCATTGGAACGGTTTACGGGAAAATTTACAGGAAACCCTCATGTTTAATGGTAAAAACTATTGTTTTCTGTAGATTTTCCTAGCAAAACCAATCCAATGACATATTGTCTTAAAGTCACTCGTTGGTGAAAAACTTGGTTTGGGATCCTGAAAACTCGCCAACCGTTTAAATCGATTACCCCCAAAGAATGGTGCTGAAGCCTCCTTGTCCCGTTGTTTTGGGTGATAATCCCTATATCTATATGGTTATGGCCCATGGCTCAAAATTGAGTACCCTAGTATTGGTTTGTCTGAAATTTTGGAAGAAACCCGTCAAATGCACTGCTTCATCATCATTTTTCAAAACACAATTGCTTTCTGGATCAATTCCCCATGTTCAGGCCCACATTGGATGGTATACTCAAGATGTGGAGGTTTCCTAAAATGGTGGTACCCCTATGACTTCGGAACCCCGCATGTACCAAAATCTGGGGTCATCCCGTTCTCCAACGACCAATTGATCTCCGGATTTTTCTCGTCCGACCTAAGAGGAAGAAATCGAGCCAGCCCTTGAAGGCCATAGCCATCCCAACACCTCGTGGACACCACGCGATGGATGCAAACATTCTTGACAGTGGTTTGTTCTTCTGGTTTTTGGTGATGCACTATACGTGTTATGTAAGTATTATATGAATATAAATATAAATATAAATAGAAAATATAAATGTATATATAATATATGTACATGTGTACATTTGTACATGTGTACATGTGTACGTGTATATGTGTATACGTGTTTCCCAAATGCGTAGCAACGGTTCCCGTTTCACTCTGGGGATCTGGGGGTTGAGGGTGTGTTCGCTCGACATTGCCCAACCGTTCGCAACCGTCCGCAACCGTCCGCACCCGTTCGCGTGAAGCCCGTATGGCCGTGCCTATGGTAAGTTTTGCAAAAGGGGTCACTTTTGGAGGTTTCAAACGCCGCGTAGCTTCGTTTCGCGTCGCAGGCGTGGCACTTCGTGACATTCAGACGTGCTTTGAAAACGTGTCGAAAGTGGTTTTGTGTGGCAGGCGCAATATTTTTGCGACGTTTTCAGAAGATGAGTTGCAGTTTTCGTGGCAGGCGCAGCACTTTGGACGTGTCCGTCTTCATTTTGCTTGGCACGCGCAGCACTTTGGAGGAGTCGTGTTGCGTGGTTTTTGCGAATCGCATTGTCCGGGCTGCCTCAAGTGGTGACAACGTGCAATTTCCGTGGCAGGCGTGGAATTTTGTGAGATGTGCTGAAAATTGACGGAAGCCTCGCACAGAACATCGATTTTGAGGTAGCAAACTTTGAGGTTCATAAGAAAACTCGTAGTAAAACATAGTAAAACGTCGATTTTGAAGCTACTAAGTGTGAAAATTTGAGGAAGTTTCGCACGAAATGCTCGTTTTGATGCTCCAACATGTCTCGTCTCGAGTCTCTGGTTTTCCTGTGGCCTCTGCGTGTCTATGGGGGAAGCTGCAAAACCTATCCTGCTTCAATGCGTCAAAGCAAGTTGTAACGTGGTTTTGCGTGGCAGGCGTGGCACTTCGTGGCATTCTCTCATGTGTCTGCAAACGTGTCAAAATTCATTTTGTCTGGCAAGCGCAATACTTTTGCGTACTCTACACTCTACACTCCACACACTACACTCCACACTCCAGACACCACACTTTCCACTTTACATTTTACACTTTACACTCTGCACTCCACACTTTGCACTCCACCCTCTTCCACATTCCACAGTCTACAGTGCACTGGTACGGTAACAGGGGAAAAATGTAGACTGCTCAAATACCTTGTTTCACAAAAGTGTTCCACGTGACTGCATTCGGGTTCGTGGGTTGCATCTTGTTTTTTTCTACGCATACGTCTTGAATGGATTAATTCAAGGCGTCTTTTTGTGGGAAACAATGTTATCTAGCCCCAGATATAGAGGTTCCCTGCAAATTCATCCTGAAGCCAATGCTGGGAAGACAATCTTGGTGGTTTGTGAATCTCCTGCTTAAAGTGTCAGTCCTAGCAGGTCCTAGCTTACTGGCATAGGTAGATATGCTAAACCATCAAATGCAAAACATGATAATCCAAGATACTCCCCGGTAATCAAACGTGGCAATGGAAAATCACCAATTTATAGTTGATTTCCCATTTAAAAGCTCCATTTATAGTGGATTTCCAGTTGCCATGTTTGATTAACGGAGGGTAATCTAAGTGTCTGTCTCCTCTAACCGGGCAACGTCGACACGTCCTGACCCGTCCTGACGCCTACGCCTCGCAAGATGCAGCCCAGGATCCCCGCATGCGATAGCGAGGCACCAGCAGGATACACCACAGGAAGTGAATCGGCAGGGACATCATCTGCGGATCCAAAAACCGTTCATCCAATGAAGAAAATCCAATATATACTTGTCTTGTATGTATGTATATGTATTTATATATTCTATACATTAATTGATATACATTGTATATATATATATGTATAACTACATATCATACATTGGATATATATATATTATTTATATATATATTATGAGATTTTATATATTATGTTATATTATATATTATATATGATATATTATATATGATATATTATATAATTTTTATTATATATTATATATTATATATTATATATTATATATTACATATTATATATTATATATTATATTATTATATATTATATATTATAATATATTATATATTATAATATATTATATATCATATATTATATATTATATATTATATTATATTATATATATAATTATATATTATTATATATTATATATTATATATATTATATTTTATATATATTATATTTTATATATTATATTATATATATTATATTATATATATATTATATTATATATTATATTATATGTTATATATTATATATTATATATTATATATTAAATGTTATATATTATATTATATTATATTATATATTATATACTATATATTATATATTATGTATAATATATTATATATTATATGTTATATATTATATATTATATATTATATATTATATATCATGTATTATATATTATATATTATATATTATATGTTATATATTATATATTATATATTATATATTATATATTATGTATTATATATTATATGTTATATATTATATATATTATTTATTATATATTTTATTATATTATATTATAGTATATTATATCATATTATATTATATATATTGTATTATATTATATATTATGTTATATATATATCATATATATATATATATCACACTGGTCTGTGATGCCGAGCTTGCTGGGCGCCTGCACGTACATCCCGGGGCGCGCCAGCTTCTGCGCGGCGAGGAACTTGCGCAGGGCGCTGTATTGGAAAGTGCCCAACAATCCCAGGACCAACAGCCTGGCCAGGCCCGTCCAAGCCAAGTTGATACACATAACTTAAGGTGAAGTGCGGGTTTAGGTATTAGTATAGTTCATGTTATATGTTAGATATAATATGCTTCTAATATCTATTCGCTATGGTTAACTATACTGAACTAAGTATATATGTTTATATTAGATACGTTATATATATAATCTATAGTGATTCGCTTTATTAAGCAACATCACTGGGCCCTCACCTTGCTGGGGGTGAAATCTCAAAGGGTCTGGTTCCCCATCATGTCAGGTCTCCCGGTCTCCCCCATCGTTCCCATATCCGGGACCCATATCGTAACAGGGCCTGGGCCAATCTTAGATACCTTTCAAAAAAAAAAACTATCTTAGCTGTTAGCTGGTGAACGTAGATAATCAGATAATCCCATTGATTCCAAAAGACTATTTTGGATTAGTTTCTACCCATCCAAGATTGACCTACAGGGCCTGGTATAGATGCCTGCATGGGATGCCGTCTCCTCGTCGCAGGCTCTCAGAAGTCGCAACAAGGGCTCCGTAAATCCTTGCTGATAGAAGCGCTTCAAGCAAGTTGTGCTGAGATCTAAGTCTTTAGCTTTGCTGGTGCTAAATGAAGGGGAATGATCCATAATTATATAATATTTCTCAATATTAATAACTATTCCCCAATCATCCCATTCCCCCATTCCTTAGATGTAGCATTCATAAGTAGAGTTTCTGTTCATCCCTCGTATCCGACCCAGAAAGTATGCAGCTTCCCTGTTCTGTCCAAACAAAAACAGTGGATCTTCGTAGTGATTGCTGAAAAAATCCCTATCTCCTCTCGTTGATTCGCTTGGAAACTGGGGATACCCTACATTATTTAAAGGATTTGCCGATCCGGAACCCCCCAAAAAAAATCCATTGCCTATAGATATTATAGATTCCCCAAGTGATGGCATTTCCCGGAAAATTCGCGCCCAAGCATCTTCAGCAAATCAAGGTGAAACCTATCCCAATATTAATCATTGAACACCTCTGGGATGTCTTTTTTTCGCCAGAGACTCCAATCACCATGCCACTGACGAGAAACACGGCACACATCCACACCTCGTTCAAAAAGGATTCAGCCTTTGGTGACCCTTTGATGAAAATAAACGCCCCGAATTCTTGTTGTCTGTTGTGGTTGTTGGCAATTTTTCTCCCCGAACATGAACCCAATAAACCCAAACATCATGAAGCAGTCTGATGTCCCCGTGATGCTCCTAACATGCGAAAAAACATACATATATATATATACATATATATATATATACATATATATATATACATATATAACTACAAATATATATATATATATAGTTGTATATATAAGTGTATATGTATAGTATATATATATAACTATGCATATAATCATGTATACATAATTATAATATATATATATATGTGGAGGCCAGCACCTGGAAACGCAAAAACAATACCATCATTTTCCAAGTCGGTCGGAAATGTTGACAAAAATTGGATGAAATTGGGACATCTATAGCCCGTGTCCATCTCTATGGCAATCCTTGGCAATTTTGTGGATCTAGTTTTGTTGCTGGTGCTTTCACAGTTGAGGTTGAAAAAATGGAAACAAACTAGTTCCAACATTTTCTAACCTCCATAGGTTTGGATATAACCCGTGTAGCTATGGTGAAATCTATCCAGAAGACTTATAACTCAAATTGCACTCCCGTGCCCAGTACTCCACTGGTAAAGCCTCCGGATAACGATCCCACAACTGTCACTGGTCAGCGAGGTTCGAATCCATTCATCACGGGGATGACGGGGTTTACCCTCAGGTAATTTAACCATTGCCAATCTTAGATACCCTGCAAAAAAATAAACTCTTAGCTGGTTAGTAGATAAGTCCACACATACCAAAAGACTACAGTAAAGGATTAGTTTCTACCCATCCAAGATTGACCTAGTAACAGTTTGCGAACTGGAAGCCATGGCCCAGAAATAGTTCGATGATCTACCTATTAAACATATTCGAACAGATGTTCCATAGCTACATTAAGTAAACCAGACTGTAGTAAGCAATTAGCAACTGCAACTGGGATGATCCAAGTATAGATAACAGTGTCAAAGGCCTAGCAGTATTGGAAAATCCCAAGAATAGCGGCTGGTGAATTTGGATTTCCATAGATGGAAATCTGAGATATAGAAAGGTAGTTTTACCCACATCGACCCAGTATCATCACTGGTTGGTGGTATACCTACCCCTCTGAAAAATATGAAAGTCAGTTGGGATTATTACTGTATTCCCAGTGTATGGAAAAAATAAACCAAATGTTCCAAACCACCAACCAGATCAACAGAAATCGGCCATCTTGTCAATGATTTCCCAATATGTTCCATGCTTAAAATGATTGTCAATGATGTTTTTTGGATCTGCATGGAAATTCTGGATATGTTTCAAATAATTCACCAGCCTGAAAAAAATTCACGGCCTTTTGGTGATAGTTACCCCAATCCCAACCATCATTCCAATGACATCTTTATAGTTAGCCTGTTGCTCCCCCGTCTTTCTCATCTAACCGCCCACTGAAAATAATACAAGCAAATTCTATGGGGTTAATACCAAAAACACTGGAGCAACACCTTATAGAAAACAATAACATAAATCATAACAACAAAACAACAAAACAAAAAAAACTGAAACAACCTAAACAATACAATAGATTATAAAAAAAGACTATACCATAAATCATAACAAAACACAATTTCACTTTTATAATTTTGAAATTATAAAATGAATTTATGTTTGCTGTTTCTTCAAGTTCTCCAGATGCTTTGTTGTTTGTGCGTGTCTCTTGTAATTCTTACATTGAATTTCATAATCATCACATACAGGGCAGGTCATCCATTTTATTTTAGCATTCACTTGTTCAATGTTTTCTGCTCTATGATTTCTTCTTCTTTCATTTATTTCTTCCCTGTGTGTCCTACCATAATTTCTAGCATATTCCTTTGCCTCCTCTATATGATTGTAATAATAGTCTCTACTCATTTCATTATATTTTTCTTTGTTCTTTTGATGATTAGCCCTCATATATTCCCTACATTTATCACAAGTTTTGTATTTACCCTCTTCCATTTCCTTAAAACATTTAGCACACTTGACTTTAGTATCCTCCATTACCTACTATAGATAGGTAATAACTCTTTAAGTGTCTTTCCTATCCCTTTTCCCTAGATTATAACATAATCAACAACACAATCATAACAACACACAACAAAAGAAAGAAAACAACATAGACAAAACAAAAGACGATAAAAAAGACAATACCATACATCATAACAACAATAACAAAATCAAAACAACCTACTACAAACAAAAACAAAGCAACAAAACAATAATAACAAAATCCTAACAACCTACTATTAATAAAACCAATAACATAAACCATAACAAGCTCATCATATCAACCCATCTTATCCGTCTCATCCGTAAAAATCATATAATATGAAATGCTTTCTCAACACTTTCATTTCTATATTTTGCTTCACATCAGTTGCCACATTTTGTAAAACAACAATATCGCCAACGATATTTGAAATTCACATTAAATTTTGTGCCTTTATTCTTAATATACTTCCGGCATATTACATATTCACCAATCACATATTCATCTTCTATGCCTTTCATCTTTCTCATTTTGCTACTCACCTCCCTACAAGTCTTGTTTGTATAAGCAATGTTGTTTTCGCGTATCTCATTGCCCTCACTCCATCCAAAATATTTTTTAATAATATTAAGTATAGTTTCATTGTTAAAAATCAATCTCTTAATATCATAAAGTTTCTTTCTGTCTTCTTCAGTCTTCAACCTCTTACATTCATAAAGCATAATATTATTTTCAAAAATCAAGTCTATACAACGGTCGGCATACTTCCCAAAAGAAACAACATTGCTTACCCTCTCTGGGTTTTTTAATTGTTTTGTGTCCCCTGTTGCTAATATAATCCTATCAGGATTGCTTTTACAAAAGTTCCAGATGAGAGCCCACTTGCTTACATTGTGAAAGTATATCTCATCAAACACTATGACATCAACATCAGAATAATCAAACTTCTCAAGCCTCTCATCACCATAAGATATTCCAAAAAACTTGTTTATTGTCATTGCTTCTGCTCCACACTCTTGTTTGAAACTATTAGTAGGCACAACAAACAAGACTTTATAATTTCTCTCCTGTAAATGCTGACATATAAAACTCTTACCTGTTCCCGGCACATCACCTCTAATCATCAACCTCCTATTAGTCATAATATGCTCATCTATGATTTCATCAGTGTTCCATTCATCCTTGACATCACCTGTTTTATTTTCATATTCAGTAATGCCACATAATACTCTGTGTTGTTTGCTAAATGCCTTGCTGGGAAAATTGAATTTATCAGACCACCGCCATTCACCAATCTCACTGCCAAACTTCAACACCTCCCTTGCTTTTGCTAAATTACATTTATCTATAACAAAGGCATCAGTTTTTACTGAATACACCATTACATCATCCCTCATAAGTGTTTCATAAGCCTCATTCATATCAAAGTTATGATGTTGTAAAATAAGTTCTTTGATAAACCTATATCCATTCATCAAAGTTTTTTGTCTGATATGTTCAGCACATAATGCTTACACTCATCTATCTTTTCAGGAATATCATTACCATTATCATCCTCAATATTCTCAATGTCATTCCCCATTTCATCTCTTTCAATCAGCATATCATCATCATCATCATAACCATCATTGAAATAGCGGTCGTATGTAGTTTCAGTGATAATACTTATATCACCACCGTATTTTTCTTGATAGTAAAAGGCATCAACCATTTTTGAAAACACTATGGACTTTTTAGCCTTGTTAGTTTGCTTTTCTAATAGACCAATGTTGATACAAGCAATCATTTTTTCTTCAACTTATCTTTCTCCTCATCCTCATCCAGTTTCAATTTCCAAAGTTCATCAACTATTTTTGTGTAATTAACCTTGTATGTATTAGATGAAATTTTGTAATAAATGACTTCAACATAATCAGCATATTTTTTCAAAAACGTACCATATATCAAGTTATAAGTCCTATTGAAAAATAGATTTCTAACTTTGTTTTTAACAAGATATAATGTTAAAGCATTCATCTTGTTAAAATCATTCTTTGAATAATCATACTTCAACCAGATGTCAAATTCTGAAAAGCAAGGCCCTGTAAAAATATCCATTGTAGATTTAGTGTAGGCTTTCCTCCTATCTAATTCAATGTGTGTATCCTTTCCTTCAATGATGCTTTCAAAATATCCACTGGGTGCTATGCTATGTGCCATTGAAAATATTTTCAAGTCATCATTATGGTAGTATGACTTGTGATTAGGATTAAACATACCCTTATTGAAATTGAAAAATGCCTCATTGACTACATTAAACATTTCAGCACTATTACTATATTCCCATTATCTGGGCTGGATAATTCCATTATCTGGGCTGGATATTCCCATTATCTGGGCTGGATAATTCCATTATCTGGGCTAGTTTTTCTCAAAATCTAGGCTGGATAATCTGGATGGCTACAGCCTATACATTGGGATGCATAAGGTCTATACATTTAGATGTATAAAGTCTATACATTGGAATGTCTAGGGGCTGGACAATGGGTATTGAGCCTATGGACGTATTCAGCATTTGAATACAGAATAAGGGTGTATTCGGATACTGAATACGGGGGGTTGTTACTATCTATAAGGTGGAGCACCCCTCCTTGCCTAAATTTTAGGCAATCCCTTTGCCTCAAATTTAGGCAACCCACTTGTCTAAAATTTAGGTAGTCCCTTTGCCTAAAATTTAGGCAGTCCCTTTGCCTAAATCTTGGACTGGTAAGATGGAGAAATCCTGTTTATGGCATTGATTTTTCAATTATGTTTATGTATTGGCTTTACCATTGCCGAGGTCTGGCTTCATAGATAAATTATTTCATAATTTATCCTAAAATTCCATCTCATAGGTTTTAGCATTACAACAGGCTTTTGAATGAGGGTAAGTGTATGGTTTGTTGTTAAGGTTTTTGGTATAGTAGTCTTTATGGTCTATTGTATTGTTTAGGTTGTTTGAGTTTTTTGTTTTGTTGTTTGTTGTTTTGATTTAGGTTATTGTTTTCTATAAGGTGTTGTTCCCCTGTCTGTGGTATTAACCCCATAGAATTTGCTTGTATAATAATGTGGGCGGTTAGATGAGAAAGACGGGGGAGCAACAGTCTAACTTTTATACTTTAGTATATCCAAGTATATATCCTAATCATATTTATGTTAATTCAAGAAAACTATAGATATAATATATATATATATACATATACATATATATATATATATGCATTGTTGGTGATGTATCCCTATTATATCCCCATGAAGTTACCACTTCTCCCAGTTTTTTGCGTCTCCCCCATTTTGAATTTGGGAACCTGGCAGCGATGCAAATAGAGCTCGCAGAGCTCGAGGCGGTTCGAGCCAAAGGCTTGGGTCACCAGAGTGTCCTGCTGGAGCGGGATGCTGGATGCTCATATGGTAAGAATATGTAGCTGTTGATCCCCAAATGATAATAATGATAATGATGAGAACGACAATGATGAAAATCATGATATGATCAATACATGATAATGATTATAATAATGATAAATAGTTATTAATAATGATAAATAGTGATTAATAATGATAAATAGGGATTAACAATGATAAATAATGATCATAGCCTATCATTGTTAATCACTATTTATCATTGTTAATCATTACATGACTAGAAAAACATCACTATATATACAGTCCTATAATACATAGCCTATATATTAACTATAATTATTGTTAATCACTATTATTTATGATCATTAGTGATTAACAATTAAATGGATTATTAACAATGATCCTAAATCCATGACTATATACATGACTATAGCCTCGGCAACGGTGCCTGCGAACCGGTGAAGCCAAAGCCCACAGCAAGGGCCACGCAGTTGTAGACCAAATTCCTGGCTGGCTGCCCCGGTGATGTTTGTTAAAGCCAATCATAGTTAACCATAGTTAATAGATATAGTTAAGAGATAACCATAGTTAACCATAGTTAATAGATATAGTTAAGAGATAACCATAGTTAACCATAGTTAATAGACTTAGTTAATAGATAACCATAGTTAACCATAGTTAATAGATATAGATTATATTATCTCTAACAAAAATAGTTAACCATAGTTAATAGATATGGAAACCATATCAATATTCAACATATACTGTAACTTACTAGCTGTATCTGACATAGTTATAAGGATAGCTATTGGGTTAAACATATACAGTAACTATTGGGTTGCAATTTCACTATGGTTAACTATGGTTAATATGGTTAAACTATTAACTATAGATTATATCGTCTCTAACATAGTCACATAGTTGATTAAATTGGTGAGCTTTAGTTAACCATAGATAATAGAAATTATGACCATAGTATCTCTAAGTTAATAGATATGAAAAAACATAGTATATCTAACATATGACAATATCACTGCACATTTTCGCAGCCAAGATGCCCCAAGCCAAGCCCAGCAAGTTCGGCCGTACTGCCATGCCGTGACAACACCAGCAGCGAAATCGTCTCAGTCGCCATTACCAGCAGATACCTGGGGGGGACTTTTCCCCGGCCATTTTGCTTCGAAAAATATAGGATAAGCTCGAGTAGATTAACATAGACCCTGCCAACTAGGGGGTGTGGAAGATTGTGGAAGATTAGTTCCCACTCAAAATTTATTATAATTTACAATATACTTCCAGGGTCTATGTTGATTGGGCTCTTTCATAGTAACCATATGACTATAGTTGTGAACACTATTAACCAAAGCATTGGGATTTTCACACGACACAATCTCCTCAGTTGGATTTGTGGGACATCTGACTAAATTTCAACCCACGGATAATAAAGACCCCAAAATTCTGATAATCCTATACAATCCTGCGTGCTTTCTTTGGAGTTACAGTACCAAGTATCCCATGGATAAACCCTGGATGCTACTCATGATATCATATTGGACGTTTCTCGAAAACATGCTGGGTGTTTATGGGGATTCCTAGCTCATGGAGTAGGAAAATCCTCAATTTGACTCAAGGGTAGTATAAGCCCCTATGATCATCTATCAACATCCATCAACTGTCTTGAATCTGCTTAATTGATCTTAACTGTTGATATCATTTCTGGCAAAAAAATGATGAGTATGAAATAGCATGAAACTATCAGGATTTACCCAGATATGCTCTGGGAAAACTGCTGCAAAATCCTGGATCTCCATTATTCTCAATGGTTAAATCAGAAAAAGACTCCCAACATTTCGAGTTCAAATCCACACATCCAACATCATCCAACCGTTTCTGATAGTTAGATGAATACTTCGGACATGTTTTTCACCATCAAAAAATGATGGTGAAATCCCCAGTGTGAAATCCCTAAGGTGAAATCACCAGCCACGCTGCATTCCCATGCTCGGCCCAGCCAGCATCGCCACTTGCCGCCACGCGTAGCACCGCGTGACCGGCGTGACTTGTCGCCGCGAGGACGCATCGACACGACACTCGACACTGGCTGTCATGGCGATGTGCTCAAGTGATATGGGAGATGGCAACTTTACCCATGGTTTTCCATGGGATTTTATGGTGGTTTAATGGCATTTAATGGTGGTTTAATAGGGTCTAATGGGAATCTTTATGGCATCTGGTTGGTGGTTGACATACCGCTCTGAAAAAATATGAGTTCGTCAGTTGGGATGATGACATTCCCTATATATGGAAAAATAAACCAAATGTTCCAAACCACCAACCAGTTTTTATTAGTTTATAGTTTAATTTGCGGAAATCATCGAACTATTGCGGCCCTGTGCCAGCCACGTTTGATGACCGGAGGGTATGATCCGATATTTGGGATGTATGGGATTGTCATATATCAAATTTGGGACACTATATCAATATATTCCAGTATCCCCAAATTTTATCCCCGCACAAGGTGGTGTCCCAGTGAGTGGTTCATCCTTAAGTTGGTTTATATATTCCTCCAGTTTCGGCTTTATTTTATATCGAGGTAGTTAATTGGTGTTCATGGGGGTTAGAGAGCAAGGGGCACCACCTTGTATGTTGACTGGAAGGTAGACTCTGAGATCCCTTTTTTGAGATATGGAAATCATGTTGTGATTCTTCTTTGGTTTTTCTGGCAAGTGAAGACGGTAATGGGAATCCAGGGAATCTTTTTGGGTGTTTGGCCTCCACTTTTTTCGGCCTCAGGGGATAACCAGCATCAACCCCTAGGGATCTACAGTATGAACCATCGAGGTGCACCGCAGGGCAAACGCTGCGGGACGCTCGGAGTTTCAAGGCCCTTTCAAGGCCCCAAGTTACATCCCTTAAGAAAACGATGGGAGAACAACCATAGTGGGGAAAACTATGGGAAAACAACCATTTCTTAATGTGGACCTCCCCTTTCCATGCTTTAATATTCTTCAGCCATTTTCCATATGTACCATGGTCAAAACAAGAAAAAAATAGGCCGATGGGTTATGGTTACCTCATCACCCTGGAGAATTCTGGGAATCAGCAAATGGCCAGTGCAATTCCCATTCTCAATGGTTGTCTGACCATCTTCATCCATCCTCCAATTAGTGGGTTAATGCAAATCTAATCCAAATGTTTGACCCATGGCACATATGATGGCCATGTCAATTGGGCTGGCCCTGAAAAACATCCTCCTCATGTCTCCTCATCATACCGGTACTGTCGTCGCGTAATCCCAATATATCGAGCAGGCTAAGAACCCCCAAGATATATCCACCATCATCATTCTCAACTATACTTCCATAAAAAGTAGTTCTTAGTGCTCACAACAGTCATGTCAAAACCCATTAAAAACATGTAAAAGCCATGAAAATCATGGTGACTCATGGCTGTTTTCCCCTAAGATTAGTGCCTACAAAGGGGGCGAACGTTTCCTCAACGGCCGCAACGGCCTGACTCCTGGGCAAAGGCCAGGAGGGGCAGTACCTGGCGGCACCGCAATAGCTGGATGGTCTACAATAGAAACCCCAAAAAAAAATGGATGATTTGGGAGTACCCCTAGGAAACCTCCATTTAAAAAAAAAACATGGCATAGTGATGGTTTAACCATAGTTAACCATATTTCAGCAGCAAAAATTGCTGTTTAATCTGCAAAAGCGCCGATTTGACCAGCAACAAGACCCATGTTTTTACCAGAGAAGGAGTGTTTACCGGCGATTTTTTGCTGGGTTTCCGAAGCTTTTGCTGGCATGGGTCTCCAGGAATCCTTAAGTTGGGGATCTGGAGACATTTGGAGGTTTGTCTACAAAAGTGAAGTTGCAAAAGGAAAACGGTCTAAAAGTGGTAGAAGGTTGACTATCCACTATATAGTTTTATAGTACAGTATTTCACCTTGTCTTTTTACAATTCTGTTGTTTACCGGAGGCTATATACTCTTAACAAAAATCAACAAGGACATCAACACCCAAATCCCCTTGCCTTCCCAGCTATCCCGCCACCCTTTGACTTATCTGCAGTTGGGAAATTCTTCCAGGTGCTCATTTCTGTTGGGGGTGAAACAACACCTAGACTAGTGGACTGCTGATTTTGGTACAGACGTTGGACCCATGGACCCTGGCCAGTCAACTGAAGAAAGCTGGCGCACGTGCCAAATCATCATTGCCCACATTGTAGCTGGAGCAACACTCTCCCCAGAGCTCAAAAAGTCCAGTGAGTCACTGCTGGGATCCAAGTTTCTATTTGCTGCACTTTGAGCGATAATTGTTGCCTTAACCGATGTTCCTAGTCATACTTGAGAATCACCGTACCTAAACTAGAAACTGACCGCTTGTGTGTTGCGTGGTGTTAGTGACGTGCATGACAGATTGTAGCTGTCAGGAGCAGTCAGCGCTGCAACGGGACAGATCATGACAACCCAAAGCATCGCTGACCTTCTAAAAATGGGAGTTCAATGGATGCCAGTGGTATACCCAAGAAAAGTTCGATTTAAAGTGCTAAACCAAAGCAATTGGCAGCCGAAAAACAAAATCAAAGTGGGGCAAAAACTTTGATTTCCCAACAAATCAACAGCACTTAAATATGTTGGGTGACAACTATCATCAACTATCCAACCATGAAAACGTGATGTTTTTTGACCTCTGAATTCTACAGATCCCCCGGAGGATCATAGAAAAGCCGCTTGGCATTTCTAACTTGGTCGCCCAACTCGGATCCATAAAAAAAGAAAAACGCTCCCAGATTTGGTGGATCTTTGGGGCTTCGTCAAAAGTTCCAAATCCCCCCATTTTTGTGACTCTAAATCCCAAGTTGTGTCATTTTGGACCGTTTTACTATATGGGGATGGGTCAAAACCCTGGTACCTAGTGAACCCCAAAATAGCTGGTAAATGGATGTTCATCCCACTAAAAATGTATCTATAGGTATTGACCCATACCCATATAGTATTTCAACACCCTGTTTGAGAGCATCAAAATCATTGCTGGGAATGATGTCGTGTCGCATGTTTTGCTTGACACCAAGGCTCTCCGGGTTTGCTACTCAGTTCTTATTTCTTGCCACTTAAAGACCCAAACTTGCGAATACACAATCACATCGCGCAGATTTAACACAATTGAAGTCCAAACTAGTCCAACCGAAGAACATTGTGTGGGTCTAATCCTCATTTTAGCAACTTCAAATTCCACAGTCGTGAAACATTTCGGACTTCAAATCCCATATAATTCCCCATATAGAGACTTCCAAACTCCATGAGACTCCCAGATATAATCCATATTATGCTGGCTTCTTAAAGGGAATCCTCAATCCTCACCATAGGGGGCACCTCCACTGATATAGAAACCAGGGGCCAATGGGGATGATTCCTCCATAAAAACCATGATTGATTGAGGGTTCGGGAGAACAGGCTTCGGTCCTTATAATCTACCCATATATATAGGGGATGATTCCTCCATAAAAAACCATGATAAACCAGGCTTCGGGAGAACAGGCTTCGGTCCTTATAATTTACCCATATATATATATATATCATATCCCATATATTATCCCAATATATCCCATTAGAATCCCATTATCATATACACATATACCATATATGATATAACCGTCACTGGATTATAAAGAGGGCCTTAAATTCCGACCAATAATCCACTAATCCACTGGGGTGAACTAATCCACAGAGACGATTCGTGGGTAGTTCGCCACCACGCACCACTTACACCACAAACAAGTGGGTGGATTAGATATATATATATATAGTTATATATATCTATCTATATATATATATATGTGTATATATATATAGTTATATATATATAGTTATATATATATATATACTCAATGTGGATTAACCAATGATTAACCCCATATTTTTCTCCCACCAAGCAGGATCTTCGCCCGCTTTTCTCCCACCGCGGCCGGCCAGTGATCACCGCCGCTTCCGCGGCGCCCGCCGCGGCTCAGCCGACGCGCTGGGCGACGCATGCGACGCGGCTGCGGGCGGTTGGCTGGGCTCCTGTGACGATCATCCCAACCCTTGGGATTCCATAGCTATGGAAGCCATGGCCCATAGAAACAGATGATTTTCTAAGCTCCATCGAAATAAGAGATTTTCCATGGCTATGTTAAATAACCAGATGGTAAATGGTTCTTTAACTTGTTTAAACCATAAATAAATGAATGAGTTAACTTGGGGATATTATGATATAACTGACATATATATATATATATGTGTTATATGAATTTATATAATTATACTTTGTAAGTGGTTGGGATATTATGATATAACTGCCATATATCATATAAAATTATACTTAGTGGTGAGCAACCTCGTGAGTAAGTCCCCGAACCAGAGCGAATTGGGGGATAAACCAAACCACAATCAGGATATCAAGGGTATATATCATGGGAGACAATGGGATGTTTACCCTCTGGTAATTTGTTACATAGCTGTGGAAAAATACCATTCTTGATGTGAATCCATGTAAATCCCCTATGAATGGACCATGTTCATCCATTTTTCACAGCTATGTGAAAAATTATCAGAGTGTAACAAACTCGGATGTGCAGTAGCAATAAATGGCTATGTCTATGTAGGCAAACATGTTGATTTCTGACCAACGAAAATTAGAAAAATCCTCACAACAAACTTGGGGATCTGGGTTATCACGATCTAAATGATACCACCGACAAACTTGGAGCCTGCAACAAAGATTGGAACCGCCACCAGATATTCTGACCTCCAAAAAAAAGTCTTCCCCTCACTCTTGAAAAAAAAATAGCTGCAATATGCTGCAATTATATATTATATAGTCCATGATTTCCAATTTTCATCCCATGTGTCCATTAGTATAAAAGTACATAGCATTAGTACATAGCTGTGGCGCTAATGTTGCAAACGCATCTTGCCAACCGAGATCTCAAAGATCACATCGGATGGGACCCATAGAATCCATGGTGAAACCTGCAGGGAATATGTTGCTATGCGAATCGCATGCACAAACTCACTCATCAACTCATATATCAACTCAAAAAAAGTGATATTTAGTTT